TATTATATATATATATTATATATATATATATATATATATATATACCTCTTCTGGCATCAGAACCTTTGCCATCTTCATCCAATCTGTACGTTTTGCACAGCACTAGTCTACTATAAACGGAGTTGAAGTCTTTTTCGACTTCTCTATTAGAAGCTTCTTCTATAAATAGCCACGGATGACATGGCCCGCCCAAAAATGATGGTCTCTTCATTCCATGCTCTAACACTGCTTTTACAGTGGGACATAATGTACCCCGTACCAGATCGGTGACAGCTTCACTAACTGCATCATCTCCAGCACACGTGTATTGTTTACTGCGTTCATCCAATAATTCTACAAACTTTGCAGGAAACCATCCTAAAAATAAGTTATTAGATTAATACATTGAGTGTCACGTAAAAAGAGCAAATATTAATATAAATTTATTTTTTAAGAGATTTTTAAGAGATCTATTACCTCTCAATCCATTGAGTTCTCCTACCCAGCAATGTTCATCCTTTTGACTAATGATTGTAATAATGTCATTCTTTCGAAAACCGAGTTCATCATCATCGTGTCTTTCAAAATCTGTAACAAGATTAATACATTTATAAGATAGCTTCTTTTATTATTTGTTAAGTTACATCAAAATTTTTATTTTAACTAGAACAACATATATTCGTGCCATATAAGCATTATTTATTTCTTATTATGTTTTTTAATTGAATACATGTAATTGAATGTTAAATAGTGTTAAATAGTGTACACGATATTTCAGGAGCCACTTCAGAGAATGATAGATTTCATTTAAAGAATTAATTATTATTAAAGAACCTGTTCTCCAATGTGTTTAATATATGAAACGTCTAGTACAAATTGGATATGTTTCCTATGGAATACAAAAGTGGATCGTAGACCACTGTGCTACTATTCACAAATATAACGGAATCTATATAACGGAATCTCTGAACTTTATCTAAGCTATGACATCATGCGCAATTGATTGTCTATTTCACAAGGTTCAAACAAGGATAATTCCTTAAAGACGCGGTGAAGAACACAGTTTTTGGACAAAAATTAATTTTCTTGATAAAATCATTCTTTAAAGTTTGTCATGAATTTTGATATATCCTATATATTTAGAGTTAGATTTCTATTGTGTCAAGATACATTATTAATGCTTCAACATTATTAACATTTCACGAGTAGTTTACTTCATCAAGATTGCAATTTGCTTCGTCAAGATGAGGAATAACATAATAATAAGTTATTCCAAAGGATTCTTTTATATGTTGCATAGAAGGTAGGACGTGGAAGACATATCAGGAGAGAGAGTTAAATTAATCGATCAATTTGAGAAAAATGATGCATATGATTATCTTTTCTCTCTCCGCTGTCTTCTTTCCTTTTGCTTCTGGCTCTTCCAACTAACATGTATATAAGGGATATAATATGTATATAAGGGAATTCTTCGAATATTCAATATCAAATTATTGCTCGTTCTAGTGAAGTAAACTAAGAAGCTCACAAAATGTTCGCGTTAATAACGCATCTCAATACGATAGAAACCTAGAAAGCTCTAAATAATTATAATGCAACATTCATGAAAGTTTCAAAAATATAATTTTTAATAATACATTCATATTCATGAGAGTACACAAGCTTCTTGAATACTTTTTTTCAAGAAAGAATTGTTATTAAAATTATGTTATCACAGTATGCAATAAAAAAGACTTGTACCCAGTAAAGCTTTTGCTCTTCTTTTTCGTGTCCGGGATACATTGACATAATTGTCATGGTCTTTCGCATGACTTTCCATTGTATAATCTGCTATAAGAACAATGTTATTTAATTTTGGGTCAACACTTATAAAATGCCTTGCAACTTGTAAAACAGCTTCCCTTAAATCAACTAGAATTTCTGAAAATTCGTATATTAAATTAGATATAAAGATATAAATGTTATTGAAAATTCTACATAACTGTATACACATACCTGTTTGACGAATATTTTTGGATTTTGCATCATCTTCACCATCGTCATTTCCAAATAAAATTGTTTGTAACATTGACTTGTTTCGTTTCATTTGACGTCTGTAAAAATACCGCAAAAGATATATAAGAAAATTTATATTATTATGATTTAGCATTGATTAAATTCTACTAAAAACCGATAATGAAAATTATGAAATTTTATGAAAATTTGGATGGCTATTCAAATTTAGCTTATACCAATTTTATGATTTATTATCTCATCTTCTTTTAGATACGTATGATATATTTACAATTTAAATAATATTTAATTTGATCTAAAACTGCATTTTGCTATATAGTGCTATATATAGTTGCTATTCCTGTTTGATTATTCATAGAAATATAGAATATAGAATATATAATATAGAAAAGATTTTTAGTAATACATGTGATATTATAGCAATAATAAATATGCATACTTATTTATGAAACGTTTATATAATAAAAATAAAAAGTTAATAATACATAATACAATTATATATTATATCAGCAATAAGAAATCAATAGTTGATAATATTGATAAATACTTTTCAATTGTTTCCAAATCTTCCGAAGCCTTTTTAATGATTACGAAAATTTGTTTCGGATAGTTTTTAATAGTATTTCATCAATGACGTTATATACAATCAATATTAAAAAAGAATATAAAATGCTTTTTTTATCATCTATACCTATTCAAATGTTGTTTGGGTAAGTTTGGTACCGCATCCGGATTTCCTACTAGTCCACCTTGATCAGCCATTAAATAAGCTAAGTGACGACGTCTATGAGTTTCGACTAATACATCTGTCAACGATCCACTAACTTCTAAGGATACCTAAAAAATATATATAATATGGATTTTGTCATAACATGTTTCTAAAATTATATCAAGAGAAATTATATATACATTAAATAATTGGTCCACATCATCAATATCTCCTGGTATATCTGAGAGAGCATTAAATATTTGTGCCGAGTTTTCCAATTGCTTCAAGTCTGTTTCTGAAAAAACATTAAATCATTAATGATAATATCATGTAACAAATTATATAAAGTAATATAGATTATTTTAAATATAATAAATACCTTTTATTTTCAACATCCCAAGTGTGATTTGGAATAAAACTATAGATCCGTCGAAAAGGAACATATCCCATATTCGCAATAATATCTTCATGTGTACAACTGATGCAAATAAAGTCAAAAACCAATGCAGAGATATAAGACTTAATTCTATATCATGCTGCACCAAAACGTGATCTATGTCAGGAAGATAATTAGCTACTAATGTGCGAAGTACTTTTTGGTCAGCTTGAATACCTATTTAAGAAATAATTATTTAATACAGTTTTATTTAATTATGATTGATACCTATAAACTCTTGTACAACTTCAAATATTTTACAAAATTGGCAAAATGTTAAATATTACCTAACAATGTTGAAGAATAATAAGAAGCTGGTAATAAATCTTCTACTATTGTTGCCATCATCCAGAACGCATCTTCCTCTTCTAAAAGTAATAACAATGATGCTGCCATTGTACCCGTACCTTGGCAATATCTTTATACAACAGAAAAGACAAAAATTATAATTAATGTCATATACTTAACAAAATAGCTTAATTAAACATATTAAACTCCTCCGTACCCAATATCAGGATAAAGCCAAGCTAAGGCACGCATAACGCGTCTTAAACGGGGTATACCAGTACTATGGAGATGACTGAAACACGCATTGGCTGGCATAATGCGAAGGAGATCTTTCTCTATTTGTTTATTGGTCATTAATGCATCATTACTCGATGCTTTTACTATATCTTTGTACATTATTTCGGACGAACACTTCTTCTGAAGTGCTCCTGCAATTAAACGTTTATAAATATTTCGAATTTATAGTCTAAGATTTGTATTTTTGTTATTTTATTTACCTGACATGCGCATCCAAATTTGAGGTCTCAGAGAATGAGGTATGCCACGTCGAACCATTTCACGCAATTTATCTGTACGCGGGAGTCTTCGGTCCATATTTTGCCAGGAGAGTTCTGCAACTTCTTTATTATGACTGAATTCCAAGAGAGCGACCCATTGCAATCTAGCAAGCAAAATACAAATTGTGAATTATATTCTCTATTTTAAATATATGAAAAATATGATAACTAACCTGTGTTGAGGATCTTCAACAAAGGGTATTCCCAATAATTTTTTTGAATTCTGTTCAGGACCATCTTCTTCCTCCACACGAAAGCCAAATTCATCAAACCTAGATTGGTAAAACAATTGTAAAGATTCTTCTACAATATCTGTATTTTCTGAATACAGAATTTTTTGTATATACAAAACAAGAAATTTTGTATATCATTTAATACATATCAAGATATTATTAAAGATCAGCAATCTTATGGAAGTTTGCATGATTAAAATTTAAACATTTAGTTATAACTTAATTTTGCGACTTATTATTTTGTTCCTTAGATATATGTATATATTTACAATTTATTAATATTTAATTTTATTTAAAACTTCATTTTTACAATTACCATCCATGTTTGATTATTCATAGAAATAATAATAGTAAAAAAAGTGTAATTTTATAACATATGTACGATATTGCATATTTATTTATAAAACATTTGTACTGATAAAAGTCATTAACTTAATAATATATTATTAAAATATTTATGTAAACAATTAGAAATTTATATTAATAGTCGATAATATTAATATTTTTCAAATATTTCCGAATTCCTAAGGCCTCTTAATAGTTAAGAAAATGCTTAGAGTTGAAGGTTTTTAGACTGCATTCAAGAGAACGTATTGTTAATGTTATCGTATCATTCTTTATCGCACATTAGAAATAAATAAATAAATAATTAAGATAGATATTAATAATAATTAAGATAGAATGACGCTGATAGTGTGCTCTTAGAACATAACATAATATCTTCAGTGATGATATATTTTAATTCAAACATAATGAAAAGGAAAGTCTTGGGACTTGAATAGAATGAATACGATCCGATATTGCGAATTTTTTCATCGGTTTGTGTTGATTTTTAACGTTTATGCTTTTGTTTTTTTAATAACTTTCACTGTATCATCTTATATCATTTTATTTATTTATGTTATAATTATTCCATCATTGATCTGGCTTTTTTTGGTCCCCGACAAGACTAAGTAAAAAGAAAAAAGAAAACATAAAGGAATAAGAAACAAGAAATGAATAATAGAAAATTAAAAATAGATAATTAAATTTCAAATATAGAAATATAGATCAGATTCATACTTCAACACACAATCAAAGAATATATATTTTTTCATTAATTAAAAATAATTTTCTATTCCTAATTGTTTATATTTCATTCTTTATTTCTTATTCCTATTCATTTTTGGTTGAACTAAGTTTTACCTATATTCAGGCTGAGAATTTGGATCATCAGGTTGATTCAATTTAGCTAGAATGTCTTGCGGCCACATGGATGGAGTTAATGCTGAAAATGGACCACCTGGTGCTGGAGACAAAGTTTCACCGCACAAACCTCCAACTTCCATTTCGATTTCATCTTCGGAGACGGCTGTTTCCAATTTTTTCTAAAACATACAAATGGAGTTGCATCTTTCATGAAATTCTTGAACATAATAAGTGATGAATCTAAAACTATTTTTAATTCAGTCAATTAATTCAGTCAATATTTTCAAAGAAATCTTTTAAGTTTATCTTTAATTTTCTATTGTAACTCCAAAATCACGTAGATTTTGTATCTGTTAATTATTTAAAGTTTGAAATTAGAAACTTATTTCTAGATTTTATTCCATTTATTCCTTTCTCTTCTGTTCCATTTAATATATTTTATATGCTGAAAACCATTCAAACTTTTAAGACAAATTTTCAAGAAATGATTTAAAGACTGGGCATTTAAATATCAAATATAATATAATCTATATTCCCATATCCCACACAATCTATATATAAACTATGTGTAACATGTGATCTAAATAATAAGTCTTAGAAGAGTTTTAGTTATGAGAACTTATGGATTATCGAAGATTTCTATTTGTTTTGTTTCTATATTTTCAGTTGCCATTACTCGGCACAATTTTAAGAATTTAAAGAATTTTATTTTGAAATTGAAAGGAAAACATATCATATTTATTATAACCATGTATTAAGCCATAGTGCTTATTGTTTAAAAGCTCACAAGTTGGCATGATAATACTTATTGTATTTATATAAAAAAATTATAACAAAAAAATTAAACATTGTGAGAAGAATACATAAATAATTCAATTAGGCGTGATTTTCAAATCTATGGCATAAAAGTTTATGCCCATTTCAACATAGACTACTTTAACTCTTCGAACTTTAATCTTCGAACTTTAATCTCGATTTATCTTCTGAAACAAAGATAAGCAAAATTAATTAAACCGAGATTAAAGTTAATCAATATTGACATAGAAATGGATATTAGACGGTAAAGATGATTGCACTAGATTCCACATGTTACCTTGTGTTACTCTACGCAGCTGTAAATCTCGCGGCAATTGACACGCGAGTACTCACGTTATGCTCCTCTTTTCCGACATAACCGTCGTGATCGCGGACATTGAAGAACGATTTAGCCAGGTCCATCGTGCGGAAACGATTGTGAAATCTCTTCCGTTAATGCGTCAGATGCCCATTGACATCCTCCGTCCGTCGTATCTGTCAACGACGCGCGTCAGGCTGTGGTGGAGCGCCATGGAACAACGTCATAAGAAGAGAAAAAAAAAGAGAGAGACTACGTCATACTCACGCAGCGTCATCTGGCTGCTCTCGCTTTCGAATGTAAGGAATATGTTCGGAGAAAAAATTAACGAAGCGACTGAGATTCGACTCAGGATTCTTTGTTTATGAATCTGACACTCAATTGCATGATCACACACGCGCTATTATAACAATCTCCGAATCGTACCAACTATTTAAGTCTTACGATTTTTATATTCCTACACAAACAAAGCAGAAAGAAAAAACTTGGACGTTTTTTTGTAAAAAATAAGTTATTTGCTTTTATTCTGCTAACCAAGATCTAATTGGTTCTCGTATGTACATCCTCTCTTGCGATTTTCCTTAAGTTTCTGAATTAAATAACATCTCCAATGAGCGGATAAATCCAATCTGTCGAGAGAGGAAAGTATAATTTATCGATTAATTTGTAGTTTACTGTATAGGGATAACAAATGCGTGGGAAACGTCGTTTATGACGCATTTCGCGCGATGACTTTAATAGTTTCAATATGCTTCACATTCTAATTCATGTTCTATGATTTTTATTATTATCGGTGAATCAACAACATTGTGTAGTGTAGTAAATTATGTAAACATCAAAAAAATAAATCAATATATCCTTTTCTCATTTGATCAATATACCTCTTCTTCAATAAATATTTCGCAAAGTTCTCTTTGAGAAAACAATATGTTTTATTTCTTATTATTTCTTTTAGGTTTTTTTGAATAATTCATATTTTTTATAATTATTATTTATATATAAAATTGATATCTCAAAATCGCTCATTTCTTGTCTTATTTTTATTTGTTTAAATATGATGAGTAAATATGATGATGCTCTCACATTAAATTATTTATAATTTATCATAGAATTGAAAGAAAAATCAGATCCGAAATGAAAACTTTTTGTCTGAATGCCTGAAATTAACATGAAATATTTCCCATTCAGAAATTATTATAATCTTAGCATTTCACACATTAAAGATATAATTTCAGCAATTTGTTATCACATATTGTGCCACAAATTTGGGACACTCTGTATCAGTCATGTTTGTTACGTTATTTGATAAAGTATATCTCAGAAACAACAAATAAAAATTCTGAACACGTGTGTCCGTTGATATACTAGGCCTGTTCATTTTAGCTTACTTCTTTCATAGTTCAGCTTTTTTTTCTTTTTGTGTTGGAGAAAAGAAGAAACAAAATGATCCGTGCGAGAAAGCGAAAAAGAACAGGCTTCGTATTAAATGTGTTGCATACAAAGTGCGTAAGTAAATAAATATATTCGATATTGTTTGTCATTTACGCGTGAATACATTGCGAATGATTGCGAACACCTCGCTTCAGCATCGGAGCGCCAAACGGAACGTCGAGAGAAGGAGAGAGAGAAAGAGAGAGAGAGAGGGACGAAGAGAGCAAGAGAGGAAACTTCTGACGAGATCCCGTTACCCGCGTACTTCCGAAAGACGACGTCAGGGCGCGGTACGGAACGCTCCCCCCTCTTATTCTCTCTCACGCGCTCTTTCTTCCCCCACCGCCGCTTGACAGCCACCGAGAGTGATGATGCGCCGTGCGCCGTCCAGGGAACATGGCGTAAAGTGAATGCGTTGTACATGTGTCAGTGATTTCGGTAAGGACTCCTGTTTCTGAATCGCGAGGTTGGTGCGAACCGCGTGCGGCTCCGTCAGATCGCGACGGACCCGTCGTCGCGGTCGTCGGGGTCGTCGGGAGCGGCATGCCGGGTGATTTCGCGTTCTTCGCCGGGAATACGCCGGGAATGCGTCACGAGAGACCCACGGGAACGAGCGCGAGGAAGAAAGAGGGAATGAGAAAGAGAGACGGGACGCGCTGGATCAATCTCGGTCACAGTCTCCGTTTTGTTATCGCTGAAATTCGTTCGGCTGGCCGTTCACGCGGCCGCACAGCTGTGATAAATGTCCATTTGAAGTTCACCGGGGGGATTCTCGGCACCGTTTGGCGACCGTTTCGCGTGTGCGCGCGCGCGAACATCCGCGGGTCCCGCTGCCGATCAGCCCGGTCGCGGTAGATACGACGAGCGCGGAGGGACGACGTCAGGGAGGTCGCGGGGCCCCGGCGGCCTGGTCGCCGTCGAGCTTTCCCCGACACGGCGACGCATTCCGATCTCCTGAGTGTCGCGGCCGCGTCTCGGATTTAATCGCCGCGGATATGTTACACCGTCGAGTGAATGCTTGTATTTACATAACGCGCGTAATACACGCGTGACGCGATGTTAGAATGCGGCGCGATGCAACGTGATCGAGAGATCCCCGAGAAAACATCTCTGCCGATGGCAATTCGTTTAAAATAGTGCCTACTCACAATTGCTCCTCTGTGTCCTTTATGACATATCTGGATAGTTACAGACCGTAGGACAAAAGCAAGAAATATTTAATCTTGTGGAATACTTTGAGTACAGAGGCTCTCTTCTTTTTAATCATTGTATTACCTTCCGTGCGGCTCTATACCGATTATTATATCAGTTATCAAGATTGAATGCTGGTCCATATAAAATTTATCATCAACTTATCTAACGAAGTTATAAAATATATCATGAGAGTAAACGTATTGCAGAAAATACAAATTAAGAAATAGAAAAATAGAATTAAATAGAATTAATTTATATTGAACGATATGTATTAGAAAATCTTTATTTGATGTTTCTTTTAATGTATATTTATATATATTGTATATTTTAGGTTGGATCAGTTGATTAGAAATAAGCTTTCCATTAGAGTATACATCATTAAAAGATAGGTAAGTTTTAATAAAATCTATTTAATATATTTTTCAGATTTTTTATGAAGCATTCTATTTTGAATATTATTTATTTCTAATTGGATATACTTATAATCTTCAAAATAGTGCTATTTGTAGTAACAAAAATAATTTCTATTTTATAGAAAAGTATAATAAAAAAGATGACACATACTCTGTTTATAGATGCACAATTAAATAAAAATATAAGAATAAAAAATTATATAAATAAATATATAAGTGGATGTTTATAATTATTAGGGAAATGTAATTTTTTTATATTTTAATTCTGTCTCGTGGTTAAAAAAAAGGAAGATTTATAAAATAGGAAAGCAGAGAGGTGGAAAGAGAGATGTGTTGCGATCTCAGAAAAGAGAGCCATTTCACAAGCTTGGTTTAGACATTCTAAATATAGCTGGAGGCTCTATAGGCTTTCCGTACTGTGTCATGCCGTGCAGAGCAGCATCCTGCTGTGTTGCGTAGATCTTGCTCATTTTCCACCGTTAGTATGGCAGAATGCCAATTTTTGTCTACTCAGAAGTATATGATAAGCTTTTAATAATCACTTTTCTAAATTTCATATTCCAATACTAATGAGTGTTGTACTTTTTTTCCCTCTAATGTTATACTATAATACGTTTTTTATTAAAAGATTTTTATTAGAAAATTATCAGTGATCTAATTTTATTATTTATTTTATAGAATTTCATTTTTATAATTTGATAATATATGCAATTTTATTTAAAGATATAAATTGGCATTATACTTGTTTGCAATTATATTTATAAACAACTAAAGTGCATTAAAGAAGATTATATTATAACAATTTTTCTCTCTCTTTTTTATAGAGAATTGCTTTATAGAACATTTATCACTAATTATTGTGCTAAATATATGATTTAATAGTATTTATGCATTTGATAGTTACAGATCATGGTTTGCAAAGCTGGTGAAAAAACTCAAGTATGTGTCGTTCAGTTTAATGTGCCCTTTGAGGCCAATCACAAACTTTGTACTAGCAACAAATTTCCATTATATGCATCTACATGTGTAAAGGAACTTTATAACTATATTGAAGAACATTATCATATGCAACCGGACAGCTTTAGGTTGCTTTTATGTACATCATCACGCACAACGGTTATTTTAATTATATTTTCTCAATATATAATACTACACATAATGTATAAATATTTTAATAGGATTTATATTATATCCAATTATTAGATTGATTTGTCTGAGTTGAAAGACAAAACAATGGAACAGATTGGAGTGGATTTCTCGGTTGATTCAAGTTTATCTGAGATGAAAAATACTCTATTTGTTGTTGATCCAACACAGCCCCCTATTATTGACTTAACACCACCGAAAAATATGGATTATAGTCTGCCAACATATAATCTCACAGGTGCATCATCTCTTCAGCCACACGTAGTATGGACTGAGGAGAATATTGTTAGAGAAGATGTTAGAGAAGATGTTAGGGATGGTAGAGAAGAAGTTAATTTCAGAAGTTTTATTAAAACTGAGACAAGTACGTAATATACAAGGATATAGGAATTCTTTTAATATAAATTTGTCTATATGTTAATGAAAGCTTTTATTAGTATTATCTATATAATAATTTTCTTTCAGGTTATGTTGGTTTAGTCAATCAAGCAATGACTTGTTACTTGAATAGTCTTCTTCAAGCACTGTATATGACACCAGAATTTCGTAATGCGCTATATAATTGGGAATATGTAGATGGTTCAGAAAAGGATGAAGCTCTAAGCATACCATATCAACTGCAGAAATTGTTTCTCAACTTGCAGGTATGATATGCATTTAGTAAGCTTAGTATAATGTTTAAAATAATTTTTAACAATATAATTATGTTTTTAAATAGACATCTACAAGATCAGCAGTGGAAACAACATCTTTAACTAAAAGTTTTGGATGGGATTCTACTGAAGCATGGCAGCAACACGACATTCAAGAACTTTGTAGAGTTATGTTCGATGCATTGGAACAGAAATTCAAAAATACAGAACAAGCGGATCTAATTAATAGACTTTATGAAGGTACAAAATATCATTATACGTGAGTTGTGAAAATATCTGTAATTTGCTTTCTGTGTCGCTAGGAAAGATGATCGATTACGTTAAATGCCTTGAGTGTGGAACAGAGAAATCAAGAGAAGATACATTTCTTGATATCCCGTTACCAGTTAGACCGTTTGGAAGCAATGTTGCATATAATAGCGTGGTAATACATCGCTGCTTGCTGCAATTTGAAGTGCTATTTATATTTATATATACATGTATAAGAAAAAGAAACTTTCTCGTAGGAGGAAGCGATCAGAGCGTTTGTCCAATACGAAACATTAGAAGGAACTAATCAATATCATTGTGAAAAATGCGATAAAAAATGCGATGCACATAAAGGATTGAAGTTTACGAAGTTTCCGTATTTGTTAACTTTGCATCTCAAGCGGTTTGACTTCGATTACAAAACCTTCCATAGAATCAAGCTCAATGATAAGTATGTAAATCATACAATATTACATTTGACTAATGAATATCATTTTTATTTTTAATTTTGCATGGTGATTTGTATTGTTGCAGAGTCACGTTTCCAGATATATTAAATTTGAACTCCTTCATTTCGTCCACAACGAGTCAAGAATCTCCAGGTGGTGAAGAGGATATTGGCTTAGGTATCAAATACGATGATAGTTCCACGACAGATAGTGGTACTTTAGACGACGATTGTGTACCATGTGACAATAGCCTTTCAAATAGTAATCATTCGGTCAGTCATGATCAGGATGATGATGAAGGTATAATATTAGGATAGTAATTTATAGAAAGAATTTTTAGAATATTATTAGAAGATGTGCTCAACTTTAGGTATTGATATGAGCAATGGCCCGTCAACGTCGAATTGTATTACGCACAATCATGAAAATGAAAAAAATCGTAGTACTTACATGCTGGGAAAAGGCCCATACATGTATGAATTATTTTCAATCATGATTCACAGCGGTAGTGCGAGCGGAGGTCATTATTATGCTTATATAAAGGATTTCAGGACACAAGAATGGTTGTGCTTTAATGATCAAAGCGTAACTCAGGTATGGAGATTAATTTTTATATAACTTATTGAGTAATTGATATTAGTAATAAATTTTTTATTGTATTATATTTTCAGATTACTCATGATGATATTCAAAAAACGTATGGCGGTGGACCTTCAAGGGCATATTATAGCGGTGCATATAGCAGTAGTACGAATGCATATATGCTCATGTATAGGCAAATCGATCGTACCCGTAATACTCTACCTATGCAAACTGAAGATTTTCCACGACATATTCAGGTATGATATAGATAAAAATTTAAACAACATTGAATTATATAGTAAATTTAAAGTTAAAATAGTTTGGTCAATTCAGAATCAATAGCCAAACAATTTCAATTAACAATTACAATTTTAAATCTACGCATAATTATCTTTTAAATAATTTTAATTTATAATAAAACTTATTTTTGAATAAAAAAATTTTAATTGTACGAGAGATAAGAAAGATCTTTTGCAACATAAATTTGTTAGTTTTTTTAAAGTACATATTCAAATTTTTTTTTTTAATCTATATTCTTTGAAATATATTCTATATTATTTAATATATTTGTTTTATATATTTGTAGGAGCTATTAAAAAAAATGAAGGAAAGTGAAGATAATGATAGAAAAAATCGTGAGAAACAAATGTCTATACCCAGATTAAAGGTATACTGTCATCATCCCATAGAAGGAAAATTGATGAATGTTAAATTATATGTTATGCCTGATATTACTTGGGCCGAAGCAACAGAGAAAGCATATAAGAAATTTGGTCTTGAAAATGTAGTGAATCTGGATCAGTGTCGTTTAGTTAGTTATGAACATAATACCGATTTAATAGAGTGTAGTTATGATGATCGAGAGCATGAACCTGTTGGAAATATATGGCGATTTTCACGTCGATTTGATTGGTTGTTAGAAATTCGTCGTAAAGATCAAAAGTTTGAGACATATTTACCAGGTGGTAAGTATAAAATTGGATAGATATGATTAATTGTATTTCATATTTACATTGGATAATTGTATATTGTCAAGTATTCTAACTTTTTAAATATTACGTTTCAGGAGTTGCAACTAAGGTATTTGTCATAGATGTAACTCGAGAGGAGGTAATTGATGGTCCCATCGATATTCGAGGTTTATTGTCGCAAAGTGTTAAAGAATATAAACAAACCGTAGGAAAAATTATTAATATGGATCCTAAGCAAATGAAAGTAATATTGCGAAAATATCCGGAAACTAGACCAGTCGAAAATGATGATAGTGATCTTCAAACTGAAGGATTTTATAATGCAAATAAAGTATTTATATCAACGATGTACGATATAGATAATAACAAATCTTTTCAAGAATCAACAGTACATAGAATCATTGAGAATTTTAGACATGTTATCTCTTTAAACGTCCAATTACCAGACACCAGTAAAGGTGACTTATTTTTAAATAGTTTACAGAATGAATGTGTCAATAATTAAAATTATTATTGCAAATTATTATTGCTAATTATTGTGTAACAAAAATTCCAAATTCTAAAAAAATCTTTGTTTTAATTTTTATACAGAAACATTGGAAGAATTAAATATCCCATTGTTGGATGATAAATATGAAGAGAAGGAGAAATCTGTTGCCAGTGGTCCGTCTAAACTTGACATCGAAATTATTGGAAAGTTACATTGGGATGCCAATTTAAAATACAATGAAACCTCGAAAAGTTGTACACGAAGTAATGAAGATACCACTATACGAAATATAAGCCCTCAATTAGGAGAAGCTGAAGAATGGAATACTCCTGAACAAAGCAATAGTGAAGATAGTAGCCTTAGCGATAGTGATAAAACGTTGGTCGGTGATGCACCAGAGGGTGTTGATATTGAACCACAATCGTGGCATAGGCGTAACTATAGGGACTATAAGATTTCAAAGCAATTTGAAATAGAAAATTGGGATATCGATGACGACTCCGATTATTATTTTAGAGCTACGCCATATGCAGATAGTACTCAACAAAAATGTATGTTTAATTCAGTTTTCTGATATAATCTTATATAATTATTGTATTTTT